AATGTGAGACCATGCGTCTTCTGATTGGAGCTTTATTGTGTCAACCCATGAAGTACAGGAACAATGCTACTCCTCTCAGCCAGGCCTCATGCCCGATTAAATCATGAGCATAAGATGGAATGTTTGTAACTCAGGTCCCAGAAATTAAAACTATAAAATATTGCCTATTGTGAAAACATTAAAATTACAAATTTAAATGCAAATTTGAGTATTTATTGGGCAGCATGCATTGTACTCCTGAAATAAGACCCAATCCTTCACTTGTTATTTCTCACATTGGCTAGGAGACAGGCAAGTGGCCAAGAAAATTCAGACAAAGAGAAGTTTAATAACTTTTATGATGCAAATCTGTAATAACTCTCTTACCACCTCTCCTTACTTCAGAGTAATGCATTCAACAGTCTAATGATTAAAATATAGGTATAGATTTTAAGCAGTAATGGAATTAATGTTAGTAATAGCTTGTTTCATTTTGAATTATTTGATTAGATTCATGAGTTTAATATTACATTGAAATTTATCGGTATGTTTAAAGTAGTAATTCATAAGACTTTAATTATACAGATAGCTCACTTTATATATTCTCTTTTGCATCATGATCATAAAATACAAATTATTGTAAAATACAGAATACTTCTTGAGTATCTCAGAAGCCTAGAGATTGTTGGCACAACATTTAAAAAACAAATAGGGGTTCCTTTTACATTACTCATTAGCATTAATCCTACCTCAATTTAAGTGGTAATTTTATAATTAGTTCAGGCGGTACTTCTGCATTGGGCCATTTATTCTTAGGTAACATCATATGACACAAAAGATTGCCATTTACTAAATCACATTGCCAATAAGCCAAAAATATGGCCATTAAGACTTTTAATAATACAACTCTCTGCTTTCTGTTTTAGATTCTTCCTGAGCCTCCCCAGTGAAATCAGAAGTACATTGTTTGTGTCTAATTATAGACTAATGCTGTTGTCCAGTAATAACAGCAATACTTCCTGACTTCCTTTTCTAAATTACATATTTAGTTGAAATTTTAGCTGTAATAATGTTTCTTTTATGAACTTGGGCTCCCTATGTTTGGTGCGTGAATGTCTACAATTGTAATATCTTCTTGACAAACCTTCCCTTTAAGGAGTATGTAGTGTCCTTCCCTAGCTCTTCTGATTAATTTTGGTTTGGAGTTCATTTTGTCAGACAGCCATACCTGCTTGCTTTGTGGGTCCATTTGCTTTGAGTGTCTTTTTCCAGCCTTTTCCCTTGAGGTGGTATCTTATCCTTGATACTGAATTGTATTTCTAGCACAAAATGGATCCTGTTTTCTCATCCAGGGTTAGTTTATGTCTTTTTTATTGGGGAATTGATACCATTAATATTGAGTTATTAACTAACAGTGTTTACTTTTTCCTTTTATTTTGATGTTATGGTATGGGTGATTGTTTATCATCTTTTTGATCTTTTTATTTACTTTTCTCAGACTGTGTGTTCCTTGTGTGTTCTTGGGTGTAGCTAACCTTTTCAGACTGAAGTCTTTCTTCAGTGCCAACTGTAGAGCTGGGTAGATAGCAGTTTCTTAAATTTGGTTTATCATGGAATATTTTTTTCTTTCTTCATTGATTGTGATTGATAATTTGTTGGATATAGTAGTCTGGGCTGGCATCTGTGGTCTCTTAGAGTCTGCAGCACATCTGTTCAGGACCTTCTGACTTTAGAGGCTCCATTGAGAAGTCAGGTGTAATTCTAATAGGTCTGCGTTTGTATGTTACTCAGTCTTTTTCTCTTACAGCTGTAAGTATCCTTTCTTATTTCTGTACCTTTAGAATTTTGATTGCTATGTGTCTACTCTGGTTCCGTATATTTGTTGTTTTGTTTGCTTTTGGGCCTTTATGAGAACCTCCTTTTGATTGGGGTAATTTACTTTTATGACTTTGTTAAAAAAATGCTTTATTTATCTTTGATCTGGGTTTCTTCTCATGCCTCTATACCTATTATTTATGGGCTTGGTCTTTTCATAGTTTCCTAGATTTTCTGTATGCTTTGATCTTAGATTTTCAAACCTAACATTTTCTTTGATTGAGATATCCATTTCTTCTACCTATCTTCAAGACTTAAATTCTCTCTTCTGTGTCTTATAATCCATTCGTGAGGTTTAATTACTGAAGTTTTTGATTATATCCAAAGAAGTTCGTTTTCATTTTTATTTCACTTTGGCTTTTCTTTAGCGATTTTATTTCTTTGCTAAGTTTTACTGTCATGTCTTGAAGTGTTTTCACTATTCCATTCTCCTGTTTTCATGGTTTTTGTTAGGGTGTTTACTCATGTGCTTTGGAGGTCCTCGAACATAGTCATAATTTTTATTTTCAAGTCCTCATCTTATGCATCAGCTACACTGTTTTTCCCAGAGATGACGGCAGCAGGGTTGCTGGCTTCCTGAAGAGGCATGTTGTCTTGATTACATATGTTTGTGTTTTCTTTCACGGGAATCCAGGTATCTGGAATTGTAATATGTATAATAAATGTGTATATAATATATCAAAGTGTATGATGCTACCTAGTGTTGTCTTTGATGTCTGGCTGTTCTTTGGTGCCCTTGATGTTAGGAAACTGTGGTGACTCTAGGGTCCCTGGCACAGAGTGTTCTTGTGAGTCAAGGGTTAGAGATGGATATAAGGAGAAGCTGAGACTGACAGTGGAGAAAAGTTAGGGGGATCCTGGGTCACACCAAGGGATGGGGTTTGTAATGGATTAATTAAAAATGCTGTGGGATCCCCAAGTGGCTGCAGTGGCAGAAATGCTGCAGGTTCCCAAGTGGTGGCAGGCAGCTGGCAATGGTTCCCGAGAACAGCCAGACTTAGGCAGGGTCTGGTGCATGAGACCATGCCACAGGTCTCCAATGGCGGCTGGTCTCGGGCAGGGAGACACACGGTGGGCAAGAGACAGAGACACAGATAGACATGCCATGCAGAAAGAGGTTGGATATTTATTTAGTAGGTTGTGGAAGGGAAGGGGAGAAGAGAGAAGAACAGAGAGAGACAGACAGACAGAAAGAGAGAGACAGAGAGAGAAAGGGAGAGATGGAAAAGGAAGGAACTGGGGCTGGAAGCTGAAGATCAGCTTGCCTTAGTGAAGGGGGAGGAGTGGGCGTGGCTTGTCTCTTAAAAAGACAGAACAGATCATTATAGGGTTCCTAGGGAATCGAGGTGGGAGGAAGGAGGGGCTCCTGCAGGCCAGCTGCAGCAGGATTAAGAGTAGGTCTGGAGAGACTGGAATGAAAGAGGAGGATAGCCATTTTCTAGGTCTTAAGTTGCCTTATACAGAGAACCCATTTCTACAGCTTAAAGGTAACAGAACCCCACAAGTTAGATTTAGAATTGTCTGTTAACGACACTAAAGTTATAGAAAACCAGTTACTCAATTTGTTTAAAGAGGCCAGTCAAAACTCTGATTCAATTTCCCTTCAAAATAAAGAATATTCATAATCATGTGAAAGCAATTGCAGCTGTTTTACATAATTTTATTTTCTCCATAAGATGTATTGTGGGATATAAATTGTATTGTAACTCCTTTAATTCAGAACACACTTACAGTTTTTCTAATTCTATTTCTGTTTTTATACTTTTACTTTCCTTTTAAAAAGCGTTTTAATTCAAAACGTCAATTGGCATGAAAATATTTTATCTCTGGTTGATTTTCAAGTACACATTAAACGATTATTTATATGATATATGATCTGCTCCTTGAGACAAGTCTGTTAAATCGGGGGTTTAAGATGTTATCAGCAGGAGATTGTCCACATTAAGATGGAGTTATCTGTCCATCACTGCAGAAGAAATTTTCCCAGTACCTGGCAGCTTAAGTCAACAGATATTGATGGTGCGCATTTTCCGAGGGCAACGTAGGTGGGGGCATTGGCTCAGGGTTTCTCTAGGAAGGCAGTCAAACTGAGACTCGGGGTACAACTTCACCAGGCTTGGCTGGCACTGAGGACAGGCTTCTGAGCTCGCTGAAGGGACATTATTAGCAGGCGAGTACTTCCCCCTTGTGACCGCTTCTGCGGGGTTGTTCAGGACAGATGTGGCAGGCTGCAGAGTTGGAACAGAAGAGCTCAAGGTGAATGAGAAAGCCTCTTCACAAGGAAATCTCCGAGTGCTCTATCTATCCAGTTCCCATACTCTCTTGACCTCTCAGATCAATCCTAGCCTAACGAGGAAAGAACCACTTGGGGTGCATATTCCAAGAGGGCTGTGGATTTATTTAAGCAGTGTGTCTTTGAATAAAATTTTCTCATTACAAAGGAGATTAAAATAGAAAATATCTTTTAACTATATCAAAATCTATAAATTTCTTTTCACTGCCAGGAGCACTGTTTATCTCTCTGAATTCTATAATCATCAAATCGCTAAACACCAATATGATTTAAAGGAATTCTCTACTTTATTTTTTTAAAAAAATATATCATTGTTTTCTGGATGATCTGCTTTTGATTTTAAAGTGACATAAACTTTACAGAATGTTATCGGTTAAAAGAAATGTCTGCTTTCTTACACACACATCCTTTGAATGTACTTGACTTTAATAACAACGTACTTAATAATCTTAACCCCTTAATATCTAAGTTGTTTATCCGCTTGGTTTCTGTTTCACTTTTTCCAGGGTCTCCTATAGCTCAGGCTGGCCTGGAGGTTGCTATGTGTAGAAGGATCCTGCTCCTGCTGCCTCCACCTCTATCTACTAGGAATGGCAGACTGTACCAACTTTCTCTGTAGTCCCTCTGTGTTTTCCCATTTTGTTAAGTTATACTATGGCTTCTTTATTCTCAGAGCTTTTAAAAAGCATAAGTATCTCAATAGTATCTCAGATCCCTTGAAACCTGAGTAAGGTTGATGCTAAGAATTCTGCAATGGTTTTACTACAGCTGATTTTGTTGAACAATTGTTTTTTTTCCCCTAAAATAATGTCAACAGAGCTGATTATATGACCTTATTTTTTTTTAATTCTAGGTCTCCTAAAAACCCAGAACAGAAGATCATTAAGAGAGTGATTGCTCTTGAAGGTGACATTATAAGGTAGGTGTCTAGGCTACTGCATTTAATTTATAATCTAGTGCTTTTGGGTTTGTTTGTTTGTTTGTTTTTGTTTACCAGAGATAGGTTTTCTTTGTGCTACAGCCCTGGCTGTCCTGGAACTCCTTTTGTATACCAGACTAACCTCAAACTCACAGCAGTTCATCCCCCTCCCCCCACAGTTGCTGGGATTAAAGGTGTGTGCCACCACCTTGTGGCTCACAGACTTGTGTTTTAATTGGTTTGGGGTCATTATTTGAAATTAAAGTAGAAAATGCCTTGGGGTCTGGAACTAGGACAAACTTCACTTGGGTGTCTACTTCAGTGTACACGACACCATTTCAGGATGAACGGTGTGTATGAAAGTACTGAGCATACCATTGTCCTTAGATTATAAAACATAGCATAACTGTTAAGGCAGGATCAGCCACATGCTCTGGACATTCAACCACTGGTTTCATGTTGAAATAGGAGCGGCGGCGGGGCTGCGTCCCCAACACCCCGGCCGCTTGGCTAGCTCATGCCCGAAATAACAACACACAAACTGTATTCATTTAAAGAACTGCTTGGCCCATGAACTCTAGCCCTTACAGACTAATTCTCGCACCTGGTCTAGCCCATTTCTAATGATGTGTGTAAGCACCCCAAGGTGCGCTTACCGGAAAGATTCTAGCCTAAGTCCATCGTGGGTCGCAGCTGCCTGGGAGAGCTGAGCATGGCGTCTCTGCTCCAGCAGAGCTGTCCGGTCTCTC